TTTGCTACAGGACACAAGCACTCACCAGAGAGAGACAGAAAGAGAGAGAAAGTGATAAATAAGCTACCAGGTCTGGGACTGGAACCCTGATCAGCTATGTGGGAGTCCAGTGCCCTAACCACCAGGGCCCCTGCTGGCCCCAGCATATATATATTTTTTCCTTATTAAGTTGAGAACTTTCACCTTTTCACTTAAAGAAACGCCTTTACTAAATCCAGTCTGGTGCAGGGAGCGTGTGGGGCTCCTTTGGCTCCTAGACTGTAGACGCCCTCCTCCGGTGAGTGGTTTCACGCATGTGTAGCACAGTTAGTCCCTTGGGTCTGCATTCCGTCCTGTGACCCCCACCCCCACCCCCCCAGCCTCCTAAGAGATTATTCGTGCTACACCAGTCAGGGACAGAGAGCGAAAGCACCCCAGAAAGGGCCCAGTCCTATTGCAATCGTTTGTCCTCCCATTCTCCCCCGCGGCAGGACGCACGTGCACGCGGCCAGCATGTTTTTCAAGCTGGCAGGGCTGGGACTTGTTTGGTGGTCAGCCTGTGGGATCCAGCTTCCTCCCACGGTGCTCATGGCTGCGCTCTGGGACTGGCCCTTGACCAGTGTAATTAGTGTGCATTCAGGCTCAATCTTTCTGCTGTGAGGTCCTCCGGGCTTGGCGCACGGTGCCATGTGTCCGCCATTGTGCTGTCATACTCAGATGTCGCTGCCCAAGCTCCCAGCAGCCACTGGTCTCTACCGTCGCTGTCCTCTTGCTTTTGCTGCGATGTTGCAGCTGTTCTTAACTGGCCCTGTCACTGAGCAACAGTTTTCTTTTTAAGAAATGGCTTTTGGGGGAGTGGGAAAGAAGGTGGTATGGTGGTTAAGGTGGCTGGACCCCACATGGCTGACCACAGCTCCAGTCCCGGACCCGGTGGCCTGAAAAACACACCAGGTATGTGTGTGTGCATGGCCAAAATCCAGGGATGAGAAGGGATTGCGGCATGGCCATCCTGCCTGAGGGGTGTTTTCTCACTTTGTCTCTCTCTGTCTGTCTCTGTCAGATGAACACATGTGCCCTATAGCAAGATATTTTAAAATAAATGATTTTAAGTGTCTTTCTTTCATGAGAGAGAGACAGAGAGAAAGAAAAAAAGCAGAGGGACCAGTAGTTAGTGTAATGGCCATGTCGCTGGACTCCCATGTAGTCGACCGCGGTTCGCGTCCCGGACCCGGTGGCTTAAAACTCACGCCGGGCGCATGTGCGTGCACGCCCAAGATCCCGAGAGGAGAGTGGAGGAGAAGGGATTGTGGGGTGGCCATCCCCCTTGGGGGGGGTGATTTCTCACTTTCTGTCTCTCGGTCTGTCTGGTGAGCACACGCGCCCTATGGCAAAAATTCTCTCCCCCCAAAAAAGAATGAAACAAAGAAAAAAAGGAGACCTGTGACAGACAGGACCCCGTGCCCCTCACTGCCCTCACCGGCCACCAGCCTTTGCCATCAGCCAGGATCGCAGCGCGCACATGTGCCTGGCACGTACAAGTCACTGCTGTGCCACCGTGGCTGGGCCAGCAGTGTGTGGCTAAGACCTATTTCCTCCTTTTCCATGAACAGAAGTTTTCCAATCAGTTGGGCAAATGCAGATGAGCACAATCGCCAGATGGTAAGCATGCGTTCGGCTTTGGGAGCAACTGTCAGCTGCCTCCCAAGGGGCCTGGGCAGTGTCAGGGTCCTGGATGCGGTTTCAATTTGTAACCCCTGATGGTGTATGGTGTTAAATGGCTTTTCTTCGTTTTTGTTTTAATTTGCTGTAGAGCGAGTGCACTTACAGAAGAGCGAGAGACAGAGGGAGAGAGAAAGTGAGAAAAATATCTTCGGGTTACGGCCATTCCGTTCTCCTCCATTCTCCTCCCGGGGTTCTGAGCACGAATGCACATATGCCTGGCATTCAAGCTACCAGGCCCTGAACTTGAACCAAGTACTTGGTTATTTGGGATCCAGCTGCCTTAACCTCCATGTCCTGTTTGTCCCTGAACATCTTATTATTCAATTTTACTTACTCTATTTTTATTATTTAACTTGACTAGAGATACAGAAAGAGAGAGAAAGGGTAAGTGAGAAAGCAAGCCACTAGGTTTGGGACTTGAACCAGGTTTGGCCATGTGGGAGTCCAGTGCCTTAACCACCACAGCACCTGCAGACCCCCTAAATATCTTTTTAAATGCTATTTGCCAGTTGTATTTTGTTAGTGAGCTGGGCCTGTTCAGATCTTTTGCCTATCTTTTTATCCAGTTGTTGGTTTTCTCATAGGTGAGTTGTAAGAGTTCTTTGTGTGTTCTGGGCACCTGTCCTTTATCAGAGATGTGTCTCTCTCCCTTGCCTTTGGATGCTCTTCTCATTCTCTTAAGAATGTTCTCGGCAACCAGCAGTTAGCGTAATGGCTATGTCGCTGGACTCCCACGTAGTCGACCGCGGTTCGTGTCCCGGACCCGGTGGCTTAAAACTCACGCCGGGCGCGTGTGCGTGCGTGCCCAAGATCCCGAGAGGAGAATGGAGGAGAAGGGATTGCGGCGTGCCCATCCCCCCTGGGGGGTGATTTCTTGCCTTCTGTCTCTCTGTCTCTCTCTGTCTTTTTGGTGAGTGCATGTGCCCAATAACAACAATAAAAAAAAAAAAGATCACACTGAGTGTGTGTGCATGTGTGCGTGCCCCAAATCCTGGGAGGAGAATGGAGAAGATGGGATTGTGGGCTGGCCATCCACCTGGGGGAGAGGAGTGATTTCTCACTTTCCTTCTCACTGTCTCTCTCTCTGGTGAGTGCATTTGCCTTAAGGCAAAAACCTCTAAAACAAGAGAGAGAAGTGGTCACAGGGTGACCGGGGCATGAACCCCTGAAATGCCAGGCACTGGTGAGTACCCAGGATTCATCAGGCTCTTTTCCAATACACGGCCTGAACGGGCCATCGGTGGAGAGGACGTTGAAGCAGATTGGAAGGTGGAGAGCCTTCCACACAGGAGACGTGGGTGGAGCGAAGGCCGGGGTCAGACACAGCTGGGCCGCCAGATGCACAAGCCTGGGCAGCTGGCGTGAATGGCGATGAGGGCGGCAGTGGCGGCGGCCACCCAGAGCCGGGCATTGCTTTACAAGGCACCCTGCGGGCACAGTGGCTGACCTTGGCCAGTGTGCTCAGCC